ATGGAGGATACAATTTTTTGGGATTTCAAAATAATGTACTAAAACATTAAAAGTAATAAGTTCAAATTTGTAGCAAATATAAATATTGTAATCATTTCTTATAAATACGATTTCCTAATGTAATTTTCCAAGATATTAAAGATCATAATGCAAAAGAAACTAAATTTATTAAAAGTAATAGGCTTTATGTTTCTTAAACTATCTGCATTTGTCAAAGTATTTATGAATTTTCGAAAATATTCGTCCACTAGTTTTATTGTTGGAATGAAACATAGCAAGACTTGCATTGCCTACTAAGAAAGTTAGTAGCCGGTAGTCATCGGGTTAAGGGAGAAATCGTTGGGGATGCCGTCAATAATGAAGGGCGAAGCCGTAGGCAAGCGTTGAATGGGTTGTTTTCCCGCACATCTTCATGGTTCGAAATTTCGTCAAGAAATTAAAATAAAAATTATCTTTGCTCATTTAGAAACGCTCCCTTATAAACACTTACTTCTATATATGACGTGAATAACCAATCGAAAGCTCCGAATGTCCTTCTAGTGGTTTTCTTAGCCATTTTGACGTGTTATTATGCTAATTCCTTCATTTCACGCAAGATTTGACTTCAGACGGTAAGGTTAGTCTTTAGTGAGATCGAACATTCATGTTGTTTTAGATCGAAATACAGCGTAGTTACTACGCTTGATAAATTATAGTGGAATTCTATTATATCGTTATAGTAATTTATTGTTCTTATTTTTTGGTTATTTAAAATGTTTACATGAAACCTAAAAAAACTTTTTTTTCAGAACCTTCACTTCGGAAATTTCATAAGGTTTAGCAACATACGACCAGCAGCAAACGAGTACAAAGGCCGTAACTAATCGAAATAATTATTTGATTTTCATCTTTATTTAGTGTTCTGTGTTTTAATGATAAATATTATATCGCGAGTTTTGATTAAAGCAATTCCATTTGGAAAAGCGTACATCAAGTGCATTTTTCTACTCCAATAATATGGAAATAAATTTTTTCACGAATTTTTTCAAAAATATCAAGGCTATAGCCTTGGTAGTTTTGACGAAAAACTATATTTTTTAAACATATAAAAAAGTGAGTATTTTAAAGGATAATTAATTTGTAATCTCTGTTTCTTTTTATTACTTAGAAAAAAACTCAAGAATGAAACAATACAACTGTAATGACGAATATTATACCGCTTCGAATGCTTAAAAAAAGCAAATTTCTCTCATTCAGAATGAAAACAAAGTAAAAGATGAACAAACTTTGGAAAAGTTCCGTAATTACATTCTGTATTTAAGAACTTTTGAATCTTAATTCTCCGTTTTGAAGCTTTTATATTAACTTTCTTTTCTTGAAGTATGTTCTGTTTCATCACTTTTCAAATTTGCCTTTTACGATATTTGATCTGTGTGTAGAATAATGACAACATTTATATAGGCTTTTAACTCCTGTCATACGAGTCAGCCCATTTTGTAGCTTTGCGCTTGATAGGAAATAAAATCAAATCCTCAACCAGATTTAATATAACGAGTACACCATGGTAGATAACCTGTATATTAAATATGGCTAAACTCCTAAAAAAACATAATGAGTGACATATTTAAGTTCTGTTACCCGTTTCTGTCAGTTTGTGTTCAAACAAATATAGAAAATACCAATATATGCAATAGTAAGTAAATACTGCAACGTATACATGTTAGTAAAGATTCAACACCAACGAATACCTGAACATAAAATATTTAAATTTCAATAATGTGAAATTCACCGAACTTCATTTATGTGTAAAACAAAATTCGTGTCAAGTAAAAATTAGTGATTTGTTTTGTTTTCGTTAAACAGTTAAACAACTGTAAGACGGACCCAATAACTACCCAAAAGTAATAATGGCTGGAGACGGCTTGAATTAATATATTATTAGTCTCAAAGTGGGTTCCTCGTCATCGAAATTGTACCCAAAAGTAAGATATTTTGGAATAATGAAATGGTATTAATCACCCTACTCCTCTGAACTTTGCATCGCCAGATGTTTAGAGCTCTCGTGGCTTCCAATCGGATCACCAAACATGGTCTTCATTACAACCGTGGGGGTTTTATAATGTGGCGTAAATCGATTAGAACAGCCGAATAGTTGTCGGTGTATATAGCGTTTAACAAATAGCCTTCAAGTGGCTTTGTGCGAAATTCAACAAACAGTTTATATAGTAAGTAATCTACATTCAAATACTCGTTTGTATTTAAACAAATATAATATTAGGATTACTACTATTTACATGTTCCACAAACTCCTTGACCTAGATGTGTGTGTGTGTGCATCATCTTAATATGAATATTAGATTACCAGAAATATAGGGTAAACTTTAGTCTCCAATAACAAATGTCATCTCATGGACACACTGTACTGAAAGAAGATTATAAAGAATTTGTTTGGACGCTTTCTGTTTCAGACCAATCTTTAAAATGAGAGAAAACGTCTTAACGGAAACTTGGCTGAACCCTACTTTTGCTACAACACTTCTTTCAGCTGCTTGTATTTTCTTGTTCCTTCGTTGGTTCTTATCACGACCCAGGAACTTTCCACCAGGTCCTTTCGGTCTTCCCATCGTCGGATATCTTCCTTTCCTTAGCAAAAAACCTTTTCTGGATTTTATAGATCTCAGTAAGAAATATGGCAACGTGTTCAGGTATTAGTGTGTTATAAACTGTGAATCTTAAAAATTGGTAATGGTAATATTTTGATTATTAAGGTGTTGTTTTGTAGGAGTATATTTATTAATCACTATAAAAATCTTTACTAGCTCAAAATTCATTCGAACTAGATATAATAAAGGAAACATGGGATGAGAAAATGTGAATCCGAAATATTTTATGTTTAGAAACTTTGTGTTTTCTACTATTATTTACTTATTTCATGTGATTAAATGTTTTATCCATGTTAAGCTTACTTCATGAAATTTTCAGGCCTACTTTTGATAAATCAGTTTTTGACATATGTACAATGAATAAAACAATTGTAAAGTTAATAATGACTCATAATTTTGCCCACGATAAATTTCTACAAATATTAATACAAATGTATAGAAATCATACATCTATTTGTTTGTAAGTGTACGTAAAGTTAATGTTAAAAACAATTTTATTTTTTAAATATTCAATTTAAATATACGAGAAAAGAGATTTTATGACACCAGTATGTAATATCTCTAGCTTTATCCATTATTAGAATGTTAATCTTATGATAAACTGATTGAAACTTTCAAAGTATAAATGAAACAATAAAAACTTCGTACCATGTACATCTTTACGTCTGTACTTGAAATGTAACCCGCGATAGTTGTTAGCACCATTAAGGTTACAAGTTTTATTTTATAACAGCGACTTTTTTTTTTAATGCTATTGTAATAAGTTCTTTGAAAGTTAAACCGGACTTGTCCTTAGAAAAACACAGTAATTGACTTTATTTTAGTCATTATGAGAAACACAGTTGCAATGCGATAAAGAACCGGTTTTTATATAACACCAATGTTTATTTATTTAATTATATTTTCCATAAAAAGAGATTTTGTAACTAACATGTTGCTTCTTAAATTAGATAAAGGACCTTTTGTTCTCTGTTAGGAAAATAATTATATTACATATTAAACTACATCAATATGTTATATTATGAAGTTTCTTACTGTTTAAAAGTACCATAGAACGTTTACCATTTCACAGTTATTCCTTACTTATATTGTCTGGCGGTCCTTGTAACTGAACATCTGGTGGACGGTCTAAAAAAACGTCACTGTTCATAGCTTCCTTGACAGCCAGAAAATCACATAAGACGACGACATTTTTACTTCCTACACGGAAGCTAACAACGACAATACTAAATGTATTAGGACAATCAATTCAGCTATACCATATCCACTATTGAATATCTACCACAAAATCCGACAGACTCTCTGAATGATTTCATAAAAAACATTAGGCATACTTTAGTAAGATATCAAGATGACAGAGTTTGTGTCTAACGTGCAAAACCATATAAAATATGCATACATATATATTTTAGGTAATACATTTATCCTGTTAATACAAATAATCCCACTATTAAACACAAAGATTCTGTTTTTCTTCTCCCATGGTATTAATTACATTCTCTCTGTGGCAAAAATAAATTCACCAGCAACCCAGAAAAACAACCTTCTTAAATGTAAATATTTCGTCAAAAGCAGGAAGCTGCTGATTAATATCAGAAAGAGACAGTTGGAGTTTATGAAAAAAGAAGAAGAACTTGAAAGTCTGATCGTAACTAGAAAGACAAAGGAAGAAAACAGAGGTAGACTTATCTATGGAAAACCACGTGCACCAATGCCATGTTTCGATATGGTACATAGAGGGTTAAAACAACAACAACAATAATCGATCTTTCTGAAATATTGAATAAAACGAGAGCAAAACTTAAAAACTGAGTTGAGTTAAGTAATCCTGACGCCATTCCTATTCAATTTCACAAGAAAACTAAGGTAAATATTAAATGTAATTATAGGATTGTTATTAAGGAAGCTTCATACTGGACTACTTGTGCTGTGTCCAAAGTTGAGTAACCGGAAGGCAGACATATTTGTGGTTATTTTCATTCAATTTCCTATAAATTTGTTTTCTTACTTTGAATTATAATTGTTTTTATCGGATCCCCAATTTTCAGGTGTTTTCCATTTCCTTGTAAATTATCTGTTATTAAAATTAATTTTTCTAATTTACTTTTTAACGTTATCGAGATATACGAAATAACGCTTCTATTATACTTCTTGTGTATTTTTGAAAATAACTTTTTAAAATCTGTAGCTTTCTCTAGACTAACGTTAGAAAGTTTACACGTTATAAATATTTATTTACCTGGATGTGGTCTTCCATTTTTGTTTTTCCAAATCCAAGATTACGTAAAATATGAATTGAAAATCGCCGTTGTTCTCTCCACCAACTTCCATTTACTAGTGCGATATCTAGAAATAAAGTAAAATAAACTATTACACAACACACAAGCGTCTGTTAAGTTCTATAATTAATTATTATTATCATTATTATAGTAGTGACATACATTCAAGATGTGCCTTAAGAACTAAACGTAGTTGATTCAATTTCCTTTTCCATACCTGGTGATATTATCCAACATTCTAACGCATGCGTGAGAATGGTATAATATAACAATCCAAAACTTTGTCTCCCCCTATAAATTTTACCATTTGTCAGTAGCTTTTTCATTTTCAGAGATTTGTCATTTGCCATCCCTATTCTTCGTTTTATTGCATGATTGACATTTAACATCTGATGTTATCCAGACTCCCAAGTAGTTGAATTTAATAACCTGTTTTGTCTGTTCCATATCTACTTTGAGAACGCATGCAGGATTACCCTGCATTCTGTTTTCCTACAGTTAATACTTAAACCTCTTTCTCACTTTCACTAATAACTTTATCTAAATATTTTACAGCTTCTCTTCTGAATCGTCTATTAAAAATGTATAACCAGCATAATGCAAATTGTTCAAAGTCTGTCCGACAGTGATCAACCCTGGTAACTCCTCAATCTCTCTGGGTATGACGTCGTCTGTCAGAGTAAGAGTAAGACAAGAGTTCTCTATCTGCTGTAGTTTTTTAGTCGCCCTTCGGCAAAGCGTAGCACCCATTCGCCTCCCTTAACAGAGTTATAGTTGAAGCCGTTTGAGGGGCATGATGGTGGATCATCTCGTCTGGCCTGGTGTAACTGGGACAACAGCAGAAGAGACCTGTGACCTGCAACGAGAAATGACAAATTACTTCAATATTTTGCTAACCATAATGTATATTTCACGCATGAAAGAAAAACAACAATGGCGTGAAGGGTCTTTGATAGAAATGGGAAGGACACCTCGCCCAGTACGACAGGTGCCACCTGACTGTCAGCACCCAGAAGAGAAGATTCAAAGCGGCAATATGGATTGTGAGGATTCTATACCATATTGGAAAACTATTTAATGTTTTAATCCACGTTTCTTTGATACCCCACTCTACATATACTTACTCATCTCCTCTCAGTCTTTTCTAAGTCTTGTGTGCTATTACATAAGAGTAAATGAGTGAAATTAATATCAGTATCCGTTTTGTTATATATATTTAGTCTTCAAACATTAATTATTCAAATTCAAAGTATAGCGTACAACAGAATTTTCTATTTCAAATATCGTTTTTGAGAAACTCATTATAAAAAATATGGTATGACTGCATACCGTATACTTTAGGTGGGTAAATTGTAGCTTAAGGTAATGGTTATAGATGAATCTACTCCAAAGACTGTGTATCAGTCTAATTACTTGAACCAGTAACGTCATCCACGAAATACATTTGTTCTGAAAATACATACAGCACTGCTCTTACAGAGACATTTACCACTGTTAAAAAAGGGTTTTGAAGTAAACCTTCAGCTTAATACTGTTAGGTGTATCTAATTAAACTACGGTAATAGAATTATTCTTTAATAATGAAATAAATGGATTTCTTTGTATGGTAAATTTCCAATATATCATGAAGGCAATATATCTGGAAGTGCTTTAATATGTCATTCTACTATGTGGGATACAGAGCATATTTTGAATAATAATAATAATTTAAATTTAATGTATAAGTTGCTTACCGAATGAACGACAACAATTGTTCTGTCGTTTCTTGAAATTTTTTTGATTCCTTAGATTTCAATATGGACAGAAAGGGTTTCATCCAGGGAAAGAAAGTTTTCAGGTCAAACTGTTTGATGTTTTCTTGAAATTCTGTTACTCTTTCATCTAGATATTTTCTTGTTGGGTCATCATAGTCAAACCTCCGACCAAATACAAACGCAGATATTATGTTAGACATGCTTGGGACTAGAATTTCCCGAACATCACAAACAGTACCATCCAGAGATGCCAGATGAGCTAAGATATAGTTGATTTCTTCCTATACTCCAAGAAGTAATAAAGATCGACGGTTATAAACTACAATTTACCCACCTAAAGTATACGGTATGCAGTCATACTATATGGTTATAAACTACAATTTCCCCAATTAAAGTATACGGTATGCAGTCATACTATATGGTTATAAACTACAATTTACCCACCTAAACTATACGGTATGCAGTCATACTATATGGTTATAAACTACAATTTCCCCAATTAAAGTATACGGTATGCAGTCATACTATATGGTTATAAACTACAATTTACCCACCTAAAGTATACGGTATGCAGTCATACCATATGGTTATAAACTACAATTTACCCACCTAAAGTATACGGTATGCAGTCATACCATATGGTTATAAACTACAATTTACCC